CGTTAGGAAACAAAACTTCAAGAACACGGCCACACAGCCCAGAAGACCCACACCAGCCATACTTTAGCTCAATTACCTGTAGAGTCTCTCACACATCAGCTGATCTATACTTTGAATAGTGTGCCTTTGCTAACTATTGAGCAATCAGCTACAACACTGAGATTTTAAGATACCCTGCAATGACCTTGCCAAACCACTCTAATACCCTCAAAAGTAGGTGCCTAGCAATGGTTGCATCTCCTTCTTCTCACCAACCTGGATCAGGGAAACTGTCAATGCTTTTTTGAGGGAGGTTTAACTGCGTCAAAGGATGCAGTTGTGACCCTCTCGCCGAAGAAGCCTCCCTCAATTCAGGAGGCTTTTTGGTAACTTCTGCCCTGTCTTAAAAGACAGCATGTGTTGTCCTTATCCTTATGGAAGACTTCAAGTACACAAAGACTGGTTACACACTATATCACAGTCTATGTGATATGGAGAAACTGGTTTAATCTAATCATCCACGTTTTCTCTCCAAGCAGTGTGTTGTTTGGGAAGTGGATGAGTTCCCATCAGCAGTTTCACATCCGCAAGACTCTTGACATCAGAGACCACAACAGCTGGATGCATCCGGCCTCCTGCTCACCTTCAGATACAGTGCTCTAATCTTCTGGTTCATGCCTTCCTTCTCCTCTACAGCAAGTTCTAGCAGTGGTTGTTCTTCTGATTTGGTGAGCTCTGTAATAAAATGGCAATAGAAAGGATAACACAGTCCTGTTCAGCTTGACAGATTCTAACTTGACTCATTTTGTTTCACTTTCATTCTTTGTTCACACATATGAGCTATAAATGCACAATGTTCCCTCTTGCAAAGCTAAGACTTAAACCACAAATGTTCATCCAGACTCATCCAAAGACATCTAATGCAACATAACATTAATGCAACCTTGTGTTAAGCCCGAAAGCTATGCATGGTCAGACCAGGTTAACACTTGAATGGAAGACCATTCAAGACAGTAGGCTACATTGAAAAGTTTAAAAAATACCCCAGAAGAAGGCAGTGCCACATCTCTGTTAATGTACAGAAAACTACAAAGATGTTGAACTCAAAAAGAGATTTCACCAGAAAAAAAATGAAATGGAGAATATCAGCAGCATTCTAAGGTTTCTTAGAATGCTGGTGCTGTAACTTCTGCTACAAGAGTTGCTGGGAGTTGGGTGGCATATAAATTTAACAAATAATAATAAGAACAACCAGATGAAATTTTAAAAAGGCATTTAGGTCGATGATTAACAAAAACAGGCAGGGGAAGTAATAGTGAGACAATAACTACGCACCACAAAATTATTCCTTATTCCAATCTGTTATCAAGCACCTTATCTTCTTCCTTCTGAGGGAGAGAATATCCAGACTGCCTTTTGTAATGGTTACTGAATATAACAGCAAGAAATATCATGTTTTGATTTGCATCATTACTTCCTTTGTAAGATGGTTGACATTGCAGCAAGATGTGGGGTCACACGTGAGTCTCATTGGTGATCTTCAGCTTTGGAACTTTACTCAGGGTTGAGGAAAAGCACAACAGTGGAACAATCTCTAAAAATTCTTCAGAAAGGCGCTTCCTGAGAAACTTGTGCAAAATAACCCTGCTAATAAAATGAACATTGCTGTAGATTCCAGCAGTGAAAGTGCTGACAGTGTGAGAAAATAGAGTACTGCTTTTTTTAATACACCCCAAGATTTGTTTATTTACCATATTTTTACACCATCACTCTCCATAAGGGCTCATGATGGTGGACAGATGCCTGCACATCTACCATTGTGGATGATCTCGAGCCTTACTCCTTACCATTTAAGGAGGAATACAGGAGCTTTAGAAGTAAGTGAAAGTGAGAGAAATTTGAGGTGTCTAGGAAAACTGAAAAGAGAAGAGCATCTGAAACTGCGACATTGGTGATGGTTCTCTTAGATGTAATGGAAACAAAGAAATGATGGTGTTCCCCAAAAAGAGTGGCAGAAGAAGAGGGCTCTGTATAACACAGCATACCTGTACACATTCTCTCCAATTCCTGAATTTGTTTTTCAGCCTCTTGTATTTCCTGGAATGTCTTCACAAATGGTGATAGTTCAGCAAGCCGTTGGCTGAGGTCCTTTCTCTTAAATTCATTCACTGAGCAGGAATTTAGCAACAAATCAATCTTTTCATATTCTTGGTTCAAAGTCTGTAAATATGCTTGCAAAGTGTCATTGTCCCAGTGTGTTCTAAAAGCTGTGGGGCTGTAATGGAAGGTCCTCACAGATGTGACTGTTTTCCACCTACAGCTGTGCTGAAGTATATTCAGTTCCACCAAAAACGCACTTTTTTTAGCAAGAAATGGAAGATGGCACCTTTGGTGATACCTGTAGCATTTGTTAAATAATACTCTAAAAACAGGAGTTGCTTGGTGAGGTTTCATCTCAGGTTGAACCTTCTGGAATACAGAAATAAAATCACAGAATTTCTCATTTTTCTTTCAACAGTATATTTAAAGGCACTGGTATTATTCTCCACTGTTTAAAAACCTATGTTAAAAATATTATACTTGTAACTCATTCTGCAACACCAGTCTCATTTACTATCCCAGGAATCATAAGAGACAGCATATTAATATTTATAGGAATTCAAGATTTGATTGGCTGGCCATATTTATGTGGTTTTATGCCAAAATTCCTTCCATGGCAACAGGTACTAAGAGACAAGTTCATTTAAGGGTACATTAACTTTAATCCAGTGTTTCTTAAACTTTTTTCTCTCAGGACCCCTTCCCACATTTAAAAAATTATGGAGCACCCCAAAAGAGCCTATGTTTGTATGGGTTATATTTATCGATATTTACCATATCAAAAATTAAAATTGATGCATTCACTGCTTCTACTGCTTCTCACGATTGTTTGATGGAATTTTAATTATTTTTCAACATAGGCTGGCAAATAATTTTTATTGTGCAGACCCCTGACCACACTTTAAGAAGCACTGCTTTAATCAAAACAATACAGAGTAACGAAAGATGAATCCTGTAATTTTCTATGTATCTGGTAAATACTCCCTTTGGAGTATATTGGTCAAGTTTCAGATTATACATAGAAAGGTCACAGAAAATAATCAGCTGAAAGTGCTGCTGTTTGCAAATATTCTTGATTCTCACGCTTTTACATTAGAAACCTACTGCTAACCAACCATTTGTAAATATAAACACCATCTAGAAGATATGAAAATCTTTCCTAACATGATGAAGCCTACTGTAGGAACCACTGTCTTCATTTCCCCCCCCCCAAGAAATATCTTTCTCAAGCAATAATTGCAAGATCTATAGTTTAGCAAAAGGCTGATGTGTTATAATTGCAATTTCAACACGTTTCCTACAGGTGGTAGACCCATAGTAAAACAAATTCTAGCTTCCTCCATCTTCTTAAGTTGCATCTTTCAGCTAAAGCTAGAAGCATTTGATTCAGAAGTGCCAAAGGAGCAAATCACACATTTTATCAAATATATTAGTATGAATTAATATTAGTACTAATGTTAGAACGAGCATGTAACAAGGGTATGCCAATACTGAGTCACTGTGTAAAAGGTTCAGTCTGTGGCTGGGATGTGGCTCTAAATCACAGCTATATTCTCAGAAGCGCTTGATGTAATTTACAAACACAGACAAAAAATACATTAAATGCAATAACATTTAAGAGAAGCATAACAGATGTGGAAGTTCACTAAGGGACTCTTGAAAATCCAGCTGAACTCATATGGTTCCTATGGGGGAGAAAATATGGAGGAAGAAGTATTTTCTAAACTGCTGTGAGCTCCCAGAGGGAAAGCGGAGTATAAATCTAAAAATTAAATTCATGTCTACAACCGCAACTGTTCTTCTAGTAATTTGAGCAGTATTTCTTCCTTACTTATGTGCTTAGCACACGCCTTTCTGGTTAACAGCAATCACAATGGTTTGTCATTTAACACAATCCCAGAAAAACAGGCCATCGTTCTGCTCAAGGTTCTAAATCACAGCTATGTTCTCAGAAGCGCTTGATGTAATTTACAAACACAGACAAAAAATACTTTGAATGCAATAACATTTAAGAGAAGCATAACAGACGTGGAAGTTCACTAAGGGACTCTTGAAAATCATATGGTTCCTGCGGGGGGAGAAAATACTTGAAGTGAGCGGATCCAGGCAAGGAACAACTGGATCCCCCGAAACACGCAGTTCCAGGAGCCTTTGTCAAGAGAGGTGGTTATAATTAAACAAATAAGATTACATCTCCATCCCTGTCTTTTCCACGCATCCCCATTTTTTACAGGGCTCTTTTCCCTGCAGTGCTAAATATGGGTGGGAATATAAACCAATATCTCCCTCCAGAAGTGATACGGGATGCTCTGGGGACCTACCCTATGCATTAAACAACCCAAAACAGCGGTTCAACTCGATCTCGCGCGTGCTGATCAAGAAAGGGATCCCACCCACCCATCCCCTC